ATACCTAATACTCCTTCCTCCTCCTCTTTTCCCCACAACAACCACCCTGTGAGGTGAGTTGAGCTGAGAAAGAGTGACTGGCCCAAAGTCACCCAGCCAGCTTTCATGCCTAAGGCGGGACTAGTCTCCTGGTTTCTAGCCTGGTGCCTTAACCGCTAGATCAAATTGGTTCTTTTCAAGCAATTCAGACATCATATTTGCCGTATTTGTTGAGCAAACTAGAATACTGTGGTTCACACATCACGCTTGACTTTCAAATTACAGTGGTGGATTCATCCGTGCTAAGCCAAATGACATTTCAACATCGGATACCACAACCAATTTCCACTGTCAGAATACCTATCTAAATTCTTTTGAAGGCATCTTAATTGCTGGCCATCACCGTGTTGTGCAACAATAAATCCTGTAAGTTTGTTGTTGCATGGTATGAACAGAAAGTCTACTGGACAATTTAAATGCATGAGTTGCTCTGAGTACTGAATAGAGAGGCAGAATATAAACCAAATAAATGAATTTTATTTGGCAGTTCTGGTGGCACGAAAGAGTGTCATGACCAAGACACAGAATACTGAGGGAGATGGATATGGTGTCTCAGTAAAAAAAAAAATTGGGGGCACTTCAGGGTGTTCCATCTATAACAGATTAACCTATCTAAGATTAAGTGGGAATTCCCCACCCACCCGTCCCAGTCTCAGCCCCAATCAATTTGTCTATTAGCATTATTCGTTTCGATTCTCCTATAGTAGATTATTTCTAGAGTTTTTTGGCTTAGAAGTTCTCCTCCTCCTGGGTTCCCTGAGAAAATCCTGATCGATTCTTGGAGAACAACCTGGGTCAAGAGGCTCTTTACTCAACCCTCATCAGACAGAAGCCATTTCGTCACATCAGAGCAGAGAGAGATGAGATGGCAAGAGGGGCCTCCAGAAAGACCAGTCCTCTTCCAGAATTATATCAAACCGGCCATGACAGAAGTACTCCTTATTTAATGTTATAATATATGCCTGGACTTGTGTTTCCTCTTCCCTCCCACAACTTTTCCCTGTGGTATTCTTTTTTTCAATCCTAAGCCTGGGGACAAGGACAGGTTCCTTTTAAAAATTGTATATACAGAGTAGAATAAAAATGCTTTACAACAATAAACAAAGCAAATACAGCTACAATAGCATGCATGAGTCTCTAGGGAGAATACCTCCAGCCATGCCTTTGACTACACATAATGGGAAACACTGAGGCAAAATCCTTCCCAGCTCAAAATAAAAGGATGGACTATAATCAAAGTAGGATCCTAGGCATGAGACCTGCTGGGGAGAAGCCAACTTCATTTGCCAACAGATTCTTCTCTTTCTCTGTGTAATGGCACCCCTAACTTCAGCAGTCTTCCTACCCATCAGTAAATAATCTGCCTTTGCTTTTGGGAATTAGCACAATTGTAGAAATAGCTTGATGTTCTTCACTTATTTTTAGCTATTGGTTTTGGCCTTGTAGGCACCTTACATAATGCCTTTGAAGTGGGGGAGGAGGATTTTTTCTGTATGGCTCAACACACTGTATTGCACTACAAAGTAGCTAACCACATTTTCTCCTAGCATGTTGTGCAAATCCAGCCCATGTGTTAATTTATGGTTCAGAGCATTATATGAACATCAAAACTGGGGTGAAGAAACCAAGATTAAGTTAATCAAAAACCTATTTAAAGGAAAAGGCACATTTAGCAACTAGAAAAACTGAGGCTTATGTTCCAGGAATACTTTTCCCTTAGAGAAGGATCTTTCAACCAACCCATGGCTAAAATTGAATTCCTTCATTTGTGTTTTTTTCATTCCTGAATTTGTGTTTTGTCTTAGATTTGGAAGCTGGCAAAATCAACCTTCCTCACCTTGCATTGCAAATTAATTAATTACACTATATAGTGATTGTGTTATCTATTCAGACCCTAGGAAATGTTCATTTGAGAGTTGGAGGGACTCTGTTAATGCACTGTTCCTGTTTCTGCCGCTTTTGTGTTCCTGGAGGTAGAGAAGTGCTCCTAATTATTTCTGCTTCTAAATGTAGCTAGCTTTGGCTTCCTTTTCACAGTTAACATATCACTCGACATACATTAACTAACTTACCAGTGCTAGAATGTCTGGGTCGCACCTTACTGCTAATCTGCGTTTGGTTAGTTCTGAAGCAATTCTCTCTTTTCTTCTCCCTCTCCCCCACAACACACAGCATGTGTATATAATCCTTGCAGTTTTATTCTCCATACAACTCATGAAGCGGATTGTGATCCAAGAAAGCTGGTAAGATAATAAATGTAACTCTTCCATAAGATTCCTCCAGTTTTTGCAGGGTTAATAAGGGCTGCTTTTCCTCCCTAAAGGACACTAAAACGACATTGTTTTCTACACAGAGATTAAGTAGATGTATATCACGTTTTTCCATTTTTTTCCATTTAAAATGTTCAAGACTGTAGAGCATACCACCACAAAATACACTAATAATTAAACTACAGGATTATTCTAATACTCTCAGAAAAGTTAATGTGCACTTGAATAACAAATTAAATTCCAATTGATGATGGTTTGGTCCACTTCAGGGCAAGCATTTTTCTACCAAAGCAAGCATTTGGCCATTTTCCAACAAAATACTGAAGTACCTTTGAGCCTCTGTGATACTCTGTACCCCAAGTGAACATGGTAACTGCACAGCAGAACACGGGAGACATTTTAAAAAGAAATGCTAATGCCAGCCACCACTGTAGATTTTATAGGTGCACACACAAGACAGGTCACTATGGCATCTCTTGCTTGATATCTAAATGCCTCAACAGTCCTTTCTTAGAGGCTTGAAAAAGCAGAAAGAACGAAGAGGCCATTTGCAGCATGGAGGGGACCGATGGAGTCCCACAGCCCTTTCTCCTTCCCTAAAATGTGAAACATTAGCTAGGTTCTGTAATAAATTTTGGTAGGCACATTTCTCCTGGGAGTAGCGTAGAACCTTGCTACTGCCCCTTGTTTGCCAGCCCTGTTCCATCCCCAGCCATAAAGACCTAGATAGTGGGGGTCCAGAGAATTCAGTCCACCAAAGAGCATCTCTGTCCAAGGACCCCAAACTCCTGAAACTAGCAGTAGCTCCCTGCAATGGCTCTGCCTAGGCAAAACAAGTGCATTTTAGACCTGCGGATTTAGACTCATTCTGCAAGTGGTTATTCCCAGATCAAAGACTAAGCAAACCCAGAGTGATAACATTTTATCATTTAAGACCAGCAGCCATTCCTGCAACTGGACTGAGGCAAAGGCTAAGGGCTAACATGTATAAAGAGATGCACTGGGGCTGAAGGCTGCCGGGTTGTTAAATCCTCTGATCTGTTGGGTGCGCTTGCTCAGGTTAGTCAACAGTTAAAGGAGAGGCCATCATCTTATGCTCAGAATCACAGTCTGCTTTGTTGCTGCTTCAGATGTGCCAGGGCTGAACCGGGCACCCCAAGCATGCAGGGCCCTGGGTAGCTGGGCTCCACCCTTGCCCCCGAGGAGCACCCACCTCTGTCATCAACCGGTCTGCACCTGTATTCTCTTCATCCTTAAAGATGATGTCAGGGTTGTAGTTGGGCACCAGGACCTTGAAGCGCTCTGAGTGGCGGCTGATTTTGCCCTCCGCTTTCCCACTGGCCCCCAGGGTCTGTTCCGCCACGTTGGGCACAAACTGCTTGTACTGCAGAGGGGCCAGGCTTTTGCGGCTAGACTGCTTCCGTCCCACTGGCCCCCTGCCTGGGCCACAGCCCTGAGCAGGGGACAGGAGGCAGCTGGCCAAGCAAAGCCCAAGCAGGCTGACCACAGCAAGCCTGCGCCAAGCCATCTCAGCCAGATGCCAACCTAGCCAGCCCTCTCCTCAGGTGCAATTCTCCGCTGGTCTCCAGGAGTGCAGTCAGCTGGGGTGGGCATCACCCTGACCAGGCTGGTGGGAAGGTAATGGGATTCCTCCGCACTCCCATACCCTCAGAAGCCCACTGCTGGCAGCAAGGTCCCTCTGTGCCCCACTGGTACGTCTCCTCCTGCAATGCCACTGCCTGGCCCCCATACACGATTCTGGCCCCTCCCCGTGCCAATACACAGTGCCCTTTCAAATCAGCCACCACAGCTCCCAGCACTTTCTAGAGACCAGCCCAGCTCTTCCTGCCCCCTGACGTCTCTCCCTGCCCAAAGCCATCGCGGGGCCTCCTTCCCCACTGGCAGGCTACGGTGCGACAGAAGCCCCAGACGCAGAGGCGAGCGATGCCACCCTTTCCCTTACAGGCGCAGAGGTGGCGGGCGCGGGGGAACCCAGCTGGCTTGCAGCGTCGCTCGTGCTGCCCGGCTCCGCCTTTAAGCCCGGCCCCCAAGAGTTGCTGTGTCGGCCACATCCCTCCCGGTGCCGCCTCTCCCTTCAGCAGCAGGAGCCGATTCCCGGAGGGAGGTGCACCCTACGGACACCAACCTACCGCGCACTCCCGCAGCAGGGACTCGGCCCGCCCTGTCCCGTCTCCGCAGGAGAGAGCCGCCTCTGGGCTGTGCCAGCCTGGATCCTGGCGCCCTCTACTGGAGAGGCCGTGGACACGACGACTTACCTTGCTCGTAGAAATCGCCGGGGGTGCGCGGCGGCTAATAAAATGGTGGCTTTCGGAGTGAGATTTCACTTTCGGAGTAGATATCTCTCTCCCCGCCCCCATTCCAGCATTCTTGGCCACCCTGCGTGCCAACGCACCTCAGACCCTCTGCGTAGAGCCTCCCCGCTCCGCCCTGGGTTTCCTTCAGGGGAAGTAGGTCTGTGGGTCACCAGGCTGAAAGGCATCAAACAGAGTTGCTTCGGTTTCCTGCGCGTTCAGCATTGTTTCCTGCATTCCAGGATATGAGAAAATAAATAACCAGAAGGCAGAATATACCCGCCTGAAGCTGCCCTTTTTCCTTCTGGCCAGAGAGCAGCCCTTTCTTCACTGAGCCTCCTGTCCTGGCCAGAGAGATATGGGGGAGGAGGAGAAATCTCTTTCCCCCTTTCCTGGATGATCACTGAAGTTGGGCCAGATGTCAAAATGATTATTTTAAAAGTTGTCTCTTATGCGGCACTCTCGGATGTTCCTTTCCTTGGCTTTGCCTCGAGTGGTAAGTCAAAGCACGTTAGAACTAAAGCCTATCATTTCCAGAATGTACTTATTTTTCGCAGCTACCAGACTCCCGGTGGGGGGGGAGAGAGGAAGGACATTCATTGCCAAGGCCTCACCCTCAAATATACCACTGCAGAGAAAGGAGAAGGGGGGTCAACCTTTGGTACCCAACCAATCCATGATTTCATCAGTTTCTTGAATTAGGTCACAAGGCATTCATAACAAGAGCCTAAATAATGATTGCTTCCTTTCCTTTCGAAGGTGATGAAGCAGAATTGAATTAAGGGTCATGGTGTCAAGGTTGCTTTTCAACGCTTGCAATGATTTTCTCTGTAACTTGGTGCAGTCATTGGAAACCTAGGACTCAGCTTGGATGTACACAGATATAAACATACATGCATGCAAAATGCGGGCTTAAATCTTGGGTTTCTTCTTGCCCTTCCATCACAAAAGGCTGCCAGCCATTCTTTTCTGCAGCTTATCCAGAAAGGCCACCTAGGTAGCATTTTCATTACAAATTTTTCTAGTCCCAGGCTTCGCTCTTCCCATCTTGCTAACTTCAAATTTGGCAGGTCATGGAAGTACTACCTACTGGGGCATAGAGGAAAGTTAGTGCTTTGCACAGATCTGTGCTGGAAAAGTCGGTGTCTTTATTCATGGAGGCTTGGAATTATGAGAATTGTAATTTTATTTATTTATTACATTTGTCCCCTGCCCATCTCCCCCCAATGGGGGCTCTGGGTGGCTCACAACACATTAAAAACAATAAATAAATATACAATTAAAAGCCAATGTACACAATTATAAAAGATGAAGGAAAAAGTGTAGGAGGCCGATGGTTCAAGGCAGCAACACCCGGCCTCTAAGGGGCTAGCCAACCCCACACTTGATGACCTCCCTCCCCGCCCCAGGCCAGATGGCAGAGCCAGCTCTTCAGATCCCCCTGAAAGGCCAGGAGTGAGGGGGCCAATCTCACCTCCAGGGGCAGGATATTCCAAAGGGCGAGGGCTACAGCAGAGGAGGCCCGTCTTCTGGACCCCGCTAGTCAGAGTTCTTTTGCCGAGGGGGTCCGGAGCATGCCCTCTCTGTGTGATCGGGTGGGACGAGTTGAAGTCATGGGGAAAAGGTAGTCCCTCAGGTAACCTGGTCCCATGCCATGTAGGGCTTTAA